TTTGTATTTTTTACATCATTATGGTACAAGATTATCCTATTTAAATCAATGTGAAAAACGAGTTAGGACAAAAGTATAATTAAAAAGTAGTCTGATTACATTACCTAAAATGTGTAATGTAATGGATTACGTTACTGACTACAATTTTTGTAATGTAATTGGGAATCAGTAACGGATTACAATTTGTAAGTAATCTAACCAGCTCTGCAAGTTTGCAGATACCATGCAGCAAAACGAGCTGTTTTCACGCAGAGCCCAAACACTGTGTGGCGCTAAAGAAGAGCGAGCTGGATTTGGGTTATAACTCTGAAACCCCTAAGGACTCGAATCTAAAGTATTACTACCTACCTATGTTATTGAAACTTGATAGAGATCAGGACATTCTGAATCCAAGTACCGTCCATTTCTGTCAATAGTGGACGCTAAAACTGGAGAAAAAAAAAAGTTTTTTTCCTTTTGCAGATAATTCAACCAGGTAGACAAGTTGAAAACTGGTATGATTCTTCTTTGGGTCACATTCTCTATCTATATCATTAAGATAAACCAACAAACATGGCATAGTCTAGTAGTGTCAAATAAGTACGGAAGTTCTAAGCGGCCTTGCATTATAATTTTTTTCGAGAAAATTAAGTCGTTATAACGAGAAAACAACTCCCGTTATGTCGAGATCTCGAGAAAATTAAGTCGTTATAACGAGAAAACAACTCCCGTTATGTCGAGATCACGAGAAAATTAAGTCGTTATAACGAGAAAACAAGAAGGAAAAAATATATATTGCATGGCCGCTTAGAACTTCCGTAAATAAGAGACTGTCTATATAAAAAAAAACTTTGTGAGAATCGGCCGCAAGGTGGCACTGTTATAGGCAAATTAACTTGTTTACTAGTAACTGCAACCTCATAATTTCTATAAATCATTCCGATTCCCTGAATCAATTGATCATATTATTTATTTTTGCAAGTAATGGAATAAATAAATTCATATAAATTCATTTATAACAATAGTAGGCTACATTTACAGTATTTATAAGTACATCTTATAATAATCAGTTTGCAAAGAAATCTGTGATCTTCAAAATTATAATGTATTCTTACATTATTTTTTTGTTATATGTCCTAATGATATTGAAAACATATTTGTCAAGTTGCCAGACATGATTGAATATATTGTCTATACTATTCCTGAATATCACGTGCCCTTTATGTCAAAAGACAAAGGTAAAAATCTGTTGAATATATTGACTAAAATTAAAATGTATTGAAAATGTATGAACTTTTTTGTTAAAGATTTTGACATGTTGACCAACGTCCCTTCTGCCAGTTCATGTGTTGTTTGTTTACACTTAACTGATCTAGAAGAATGAAAAATTTTTTGCAAGTAATGGAATAAATAAATTCATATAAATTCATTTATAACAATAGTAGGCTACATTTACAGTATTTATAAGTACATCTTATAATAATCAGTTTGCAAAGAAATCTGTGATCTTCAAAATTATAATGTATTCTTACATTATTTTTTTGTTATATGTCCTAATGATATTGAAAACATATTTGTCAAGTTGCCAGACATGGTTGAATATATTGTCTATACTATTCCTGAATATCACGTGCCCTTTATGTCAAAGGTAAAAATCTGTTGAATATATTGACTAAAATTAAAATGTATTGAAAATGTATGAACTTTTTTGTTAAAGATTTTGACATGTTGACCAACGTCCCTTCTGCCAGTTCTGTCATGTGTTGTTTACACTTAACTGATCTAGAAGAATGAAAAATATAAACAAGAAAGATTAATGAATGGATCATATGTGATACAATGCAAACAGTAGGCCTACTAAAAAGTACTGTTTTGTCAGTGAAAAAACATGTTATACGTGTTATAGAAACATGCTACTACCAGTGCAAAATGCAGACAGATGTTTGGCACAGGATTGTACTTTGATGTAAGTCTGCCAGAGAAGTTTCTAACAATTCGTATTGATGTTGGAGTATGTGGTATATGAGGAAATGCTTTACATCCATTTTATTCACACTGTGAAACATCTAAAAAAGCCAGAACACTTCTGGAAAAATATTCTTTGGACGGCTGAAATGAAGATCAACATGTACCAGAATGCATGGCTTCCAGTGGCACTGGGTTGCTGGTCATATAATTGTATGTGAAGTTTATTCAAATGTATTTTTGATATCAGTTTGTTTGTTTGTTTTTGACTTGCTCTTATATGTTGTTTGGGTATTTGGTTTCTAATATCTAACATTATTCTGGAGCCACTCCATATGCTTGAAGCATCTTTTTGTGACACAGACATAAAAGTACGTCATCTATATGAATTAATAAAGAGTTTCACACTACAGAGGTGGGAATCGGATGTCATTTATACTCTGCATTGTTGAGCAGTATTTTCACTGGTTATTAGAATTATTCAATATTTTATCATTGCATTTCATTAAAAACCAATATCATTCAGTTTGAATGTTGCTATTATGACACATCTTATATATCTTCATAATATATTGGCAGTTAAATATGTATATTATGTTCATAAGCCTATATAAATGTACTTTTCAAATGAATCTTCTGACTTCTGTCATTTGACTAAATTATCAAAATGCAATTATTAATAACATAGTTGATGTTGTATTTTACATTAATGACACTTAATGTGTGTGTTTTTTTTATTATTTCCTTTAATAACACATTGGCTGATGCATCATCATCCTGCATGCTAAGCTGACATCTAAATTTGACTATTTAAAAGTAGATGTACATTGTTCATTTCTTTAGGTGTACTGTCGTTAATTTGCATATTATGTATGTGTGTATAGTCATTTACATATAAAATTACTTCAAGTGCTCTGTCGTTTGCAGTGAGTATACATTTCACAATTCCCAGTGGAATTCAGCTAAAAGCAAGCATCATGCCATTTGCATTTATCTTTCCTTGGTGTCTATACAGCCCTCTTATGGATATTGTGATATAGTCCATAACACTTCTATAACTATTGATGAAATATTGATAATAGGTGCTGTGGGGAGAAAACAAAACAGTCCTACTGGTGTTTATATATTGCTGTAACACCATTAGCGTTAAAATTACTTTTATTTAAAAATAATCATTTTTGTATTTATTACATTTTTAAACTGGAAAAAAGAGTTATATTTTCATATCAGGCAGTTTTATGTAAATGGCTAAAATATTAATAAGATTATGTATACTTTAAGTTGAGTATAAAATGTATACGTGCAGTCTGGCACTCTTGATCATGACGCTTGCTGAGGAACTTCAGCCCAGCTGCAAGAGAGCGATGACCTTGGCATTGGTTACTGTGTTATCCTTCTATAAAAACAGCATGACTATAAGTGTCAGACAACCGTCACACAAACCACACTAATAATGATATTAACGTCCTTACCCTCATAACTTTCCCCTTTACCATGGCCATTTCTGTTATTAGCACGAACAAACATGAAAAGAAAACATTTTATTTATAACACACAGATACTTTACCCAATACACTAAATCATAACCAATAAAGACAGTTAACCAAACCACTATAAAAGGCAGTTAACTTAAAGTTTACTGAATTGAAATGTCAGGAAATGCTCATATGCTGTAGTTTATTTACAGATTTATGACATTTTAGCTACTGTTACAGTCACACCAGAACGTTTTGGAAATTTGGTCCAGGTTTGTGTTTATACTGTGAATTATTTCAAATGTGCCAGTATTGTGTCTGTATATGGATTTTAGCCATTTCTTCACATTAGTCTTCATGTATTTGCTCTTATGTGTATTCCAGACTCTTTTCTATTTATTCTGTGCTTTACTGTTGGCCAATATGACCAATAACTTTATAAAATGTGATTATGAAAGGAGTCGTTCTTGGAGTTGTCATGTTTCGTGTAGACTCTAGAAAGTAATGACCTGTATTGCATTACCAGAAAAGTCCGTGACTCATAGCTAGATTGCATTACTATTAAGCCAACTGGTGGATGGAGAAGAATGAGTCATTTAGTTACTTAGAAGGACATGAGAAAAGACTCTCTCTCTGTGTGTGTGTGTATGCGCGCGCGTGTGTGCGCTGACGGCTTGTGTGGGAGTTGTTTCAGTACAGCCTACAAATTGCTGGTTTTCAGGTAAACAGATGAGTTCTTCAAATGCTTTAAGAAAAAAAATTTTTCCCCCACACTTTTTTGTGTTATAATAAAAACAAAATAATAAAACAAACAACAATAATAAAAAACAAAACAATAAAACGTTGTTTTATATTAAATAAATGTTTATATTAAATATGTTTATTTTTAGATTATTTATTTAGATTATAAATATAAATAATTTATTATTTATAGTTTGCCGTTTATATAGAATTATATTTATTACATAATAAATATAGTTTTAATATATTATTATTATTATTATTGTTATTATTATTATATTTTCCAATTGTTATTTTATATTTTTAATTTTCTGGGACAATAAAATCTGTACATAAAAGTCATAATAAAAGTAACAAAAATAAATGATGAAGGCATGATAAAAAAGTTTCCAATACGATTTTTATGTGACCTTCATGTAACGAAATGGTTGAATAGATATAATAATAATAATAATAATAAAGTGGGGCATAACATTGCGAAGAAACGCCCATAAAGCAATGGTTCGTGAGGATAATACAAATTTAAATAGCATATATCCTCTATATAGAAATTAGAAATAAATATTTCATACTCATGTCTACATTTTGTGTTACAATCTTATGAGCCGCTGTTGTTGTTGTGGCGCTCGGTGTCACGTGATGCGAATGTGCGCACGTGTGAGTGACAGAGCCGCTCATGGAGAGAAAGAAGAGGAGGGAGGGGCGCGCTGTCACACCCGGAAGCGACTTTACTAATCTTACTATGGGGAAGACTAGGCTCTTTAATATTAAGTAGGTTGCTTGATTGGACGCGCTAAGAGCATTGTAAATTAATATTCATGAGCTAAGCCTTGGCCATACTATGATGCGTAATTTCGCCACCCGCACAGTGTTTTATCAGATACGAAGCGTAGGCTACTTACTCTTTGTTCACCAAGGATTGTAGGGACAGAAATTGTTGTCAGTGAAAATGTTGTTTTAATTATTTTTACCAGCTGAAATGAACGTGTATTGGATATGGGCGAGAGAACACCGGAAATTCTTTATAATCGCTGCTGGTCTTTAGTGCCTTTACCATAGAGGTAAGTACACTAAGCCAAAATACGGCAATATTTCTATCTTCGTAGTCAAGACTTTGGCTTAACTTTATGAACAGACAATTAATATATATTTACCAGTTTACCATGTATACATAGTATTATACAAATAGCCTACATATTTAAAGCAATACGTGTTAAACTAATGGATTGGGTGCCCGATCATTTCACTGGTTTAATTATATTTCACTTATATCGTTAATTTGTTGTTAAAATATATTTTAGAGCGTTATGTATAAAGCTTTTGGCGTATATTAAAATAAATATGCATCTACAAATATATTTTATTGCACACATTTTACTAATATTTTATCCATAGGTCTATCTCATAGGAATTTAATATATTTTTAATATATATATATATATATATATATATATTTGTCATTTGCAGTATATATACACACGTCGTTTTGCAAGTAGGTTTATGATGAAGGTCTGGACTTTGTTCTAAAAATAAATGTTTTTTTTCTTTCAGTATCAGCCAAAAGTTTATTATATTCCGTTTTTTTATTGTTTCATTACACTACATTTCATCTATCTATGACATTTTCAAAATTATACAGAGTATGACTGGGCACATTTATAATGTGTGTTAGTTAACGTGCCTATTAATGTTTACGTGATTTAACCGATGTTACTCTGTCTTTAGACGCTCAGAAACCCGTGCCCTGGAAATGAACAGCCATGGAAAATAGTTAATAGTTAATTCTGTAATAAACAACTAATAAAAGGACCGTATTTATGGTGTGCTGTGAAAGTTTAGTGAGGAGCTTCGTGATAACAGCGCCGCCAGGCAGGCATGAGCAGAGCCGATCCTGCAGAAAATGAGGATTGGACGTGAGCTACGTGCGCATCCAGGAGTAGACGACATGACATGGAGAGACTGGAAAACACGGACCTTTTAAAAACGCACGGACGCGAGAGTATCTGCTCCCCGCAAGAGAGAGTCACCAATGGCTGTTGTGATGCTCACGCAGTGAATACAATGGTTGTGAACGCGACCACAGCAGAGGAGCTGCTGGCTGGACATGCGTCTTCTGGACCCGGGATCACGCTTCTGAAGGAGTCCAAGAGCGGCTTGCCTTTGTATAACAGTGGAGGAGTGGTGTCCCCTTCACCTACAGCAGAGGAAAGTTATCGTGAGGTCCCTGCGCAGACGCAAAGCGGGTGTTTACATCTAAATGGACTGGTGGAGACCCCCAATGGGGGCCTCACAGCTAATGGGGACAGGACTTTGGACAGGCCTTTGAAGAAGCCTTGTGGAGATGTGCGATTCAGACAACTCCAGCATCAGAGGAGAAAAGATGAGGAAAACAGAGACTTTGGGGCCCAGGGTGGTTGTCCCGCATCGGGGTCCGGATCTAGCGGCTCTTCGGAAACGTCCCACGGACCGGACCCTTCTTATCCTCCGCTTGAATGCAAAAGGAGAAGGCTTGAATTGGACTCCAAAACAGACTCTAGTAAAAGCACACGGGCTGTTGCGCCCCTTGCAGCAAATCACCAACACAAAAACTGTGGCGACTCCGTGTCGTCGCCCGGTTGGGTCTATCACAATGGACACAAAGTTGCAGTGAACCAGGCCGAGGTGCACTCTGCTCCGCCTGCGGTAGCCACCATTGCAGATTGGTCTCCAGAGCACATGGCTCAGCAGTACATAGTTCCTTGCATGAAGTTTTACGGCATTTGCGTCAAAGATGGCTTCCTGGGTGATCGACTGGGCAGTAAGGTTCTGGAGGAAGTGGAGACTCTAAATCACAATGGGAAGTTCAGAGGCGGCCAGTTGGTCAGCCAAAAGAACATCCCCTCTAAGAACATCCGTGGAGACCAGATAGCCTGGGTTGGAGGCAACGAGCCGGGCTGTGAGAACATCGTGAGCCTCATGGCTCACATTGATGAGGCCATCATGCGCAGTGCGGCCAATGGACAGCTGGGGAATTATGTCATAAACGGCCGCACCAAGGTGAGTGAGGTGGCATATCTGTGCTTAACATTTAAACTCATATCATTCCAAAACTATGTCTTTCTTCTGTGGAACGTAAAAGAAGATATTTTGAAAAGCAATGGAAGTCCATGATGTAACCAAATTGTTTGGTTACAAAACATGCTTCAGAATATTCAAAAAAAGTATTGTAGCAGTATAAAGAAAGTCATGCAGGTTTGAAATGATGTGAGGGTGAGTAAGTGATGACAATTTTCATTTTGGGTGGAATTTTTTTTTTGTTACTTTGGAGCTGTATGGTAACACTGGGGATACTATAGATGTCACACTTTTACTGCAGTAAACATTTCTCAGGGTAGGTTTATTTTGTGAAAGTCAATATCTGTATAGGCACAAAAAATCTATTAAGCCATTTAAAATGTTAACCATTATTGCAGATGAAAATAAGATACAGTTTATTTACAAAAAAAATATGGGAAGTTGTCAGCAAACAGCAGTTTAAAATTAACATCTAAATCTCTGTGACCTCTCATGCACCTTTGGAAAAACCTGAAAACATCCTTGTTAAAAGGAAGTTCACTCAAAAATGATTGTTTTTTTATTTGCTCACCCTCAATTTGTTCCAAACCTGTATGAATTCCTTTCTTCTGTTCAACACAAAAATTGATATTTTGAAGAATGTTGGTAGCCAATGACATTCATAGCATTTTTTCCATACTGTGGAAGTCAGTGGTTACCAGTGATTGTGAATACAAACATTCTTCAACTTTTTTTCTTTTCTGTTCAACAGAAAAAAAAGAAATGCATACAGGTTTGGAAAAACATGACAGTGAGTAAATTATAGAATTTTCATTTTTGAGTGAACTATCCTTTTAAAATCTAAAATCTTACTCAAATTGCATGGTTTTATTGTTTTTACATTCAACATCTGGTGCAAATAAAAAAACCTTTATGTTGCGATCAAGTTTACCACTGATAACCAAATTTAGCAGTCAAAGTCCAGTCATTTCAATAGGAATCAATGGAATCTGAAAATCTGTTTAAGGGTGAAGGAGTTCCCACAAGTTTTTCACTCAGATTCACTTACGTTGACCAACAGACAGCTGCTTGATCTGAAAATAACATCTATGTGAGCTGTACTTTGTGTATCGTCACACTATTGGCAGTGGAATTTTTTTTTTGAAGAACAAAATTTAGCTGAAAATTCACGAATGTCACCTTGCCTTTATAGTTACAGAGATCAAGTCAACATCTATGTGTGACAACTTTCCCCGGTTTCCCCTTTCTTCAGTATCAGTAGATGCTAGTTAAGCTATTACTTGAAAATCAAAACTGGCACACACTGTCACCAGCAGTGCAAAACTGCATTCAGGAAGTTGTGGTTGGGTGTATCGGACAAGATATTGACTGTCTGTGTTTCTCACTGTTCCACTGATCTCAACTACCAGCCTGAGAAATGCAGTTTATCCCAGTCCATTTATCTGATCCCAGATCAGTGTTTCTCTGGCTTTGAAGGCTCATCTGAGGCTCAACCACTCAACACTGAGCATCAGCAGTAATGAGGCGCGTTGGAGTGACGTCACCGCCCCTCTTTGACTGATTGGCTAGAGGAGGAGCTGTCAATCTAGAACTAGTGGACCAATGATGATGTTTTAGCCCTCCCTGATTTACATGAAACTCTTAACCACAACATTTGGAAGAAGAAGCACAGAACGTGGAATAAAGAGCAAAGGGAAAAACGGCATAAGCATACAAAAAATTTAAATATGTGCAGAAAATGTCTGAGAGCACAAAAAACAGAGAAATATAACCAAGGAAAACATGATTTTGTGTTCAATAATGTTTTGGGCAATATGATTTTAAATGTGTTTCACGAGTTCACACTTACATATAATTGAATAAGGGTAATGCGTATTTGGCGTGCTGTCCAGGGAAAGGGCTCTGAGCTCGGTAAGACTCCCGAGCCCGGGACACCCTCCCCCTGTCCGGGGAGAGGGGTCCGAGCTCGGTGTCCAGCCCAGCCCAAAAGCGCTCCCCGGGAGTGCTTCTCCCCGTGCTGGGGTAGAAACTATGCTGAAGGTGCGGGGTCGGGGTGGCGGAGGGATGCTGAAAGTCGAGAGATAACGAAGGTAGGACGTACTTGGTTATTTATAGGAGTTTTCTCTTGCGCTGATTGGATAAATGGTGTAATCACTAATGATGAACTGGCCGTGTTAATTATCTGTGCGTGCTCCTCCCGAAATTTGTTTATAAACATCACTTTACGAGTTCACACTTACATATAATTGAATAAGGGTTATGCGTATTTGGCGTGCTGTCCAGGGAGAGGGCTCCAAGCTCGGCAAGACTCCCGAGCCCGGGGCACCCTCCCCCTGTCCGGGGAGAGGGGTCCGAGCTCGGTGTCCAGCCCGGCCCAAAAGCGCTCCCCCAAAAGCAATTAAAACAGGACAGCAGCCAGATATGTGCATTTACGACCCCCCAAAACAAAGGTTTAAGTTTGAGGGGGGCTGGACGTCCTTTGGTAT